TCACAGTTGTATAAAGCATTGAGGTGGGTATGTCTCTGCTAAGGAAGAGCACAGACCTCAGTTTTTCTGTGGTATGTTTGAAGTCTCCCTACCAGCCCTTGAGCCCTGGATTTTTTCCACACAGTGTGATTGAGATGTGAACATAAACTCAATTACAAGGCTGAATTTTGTTCTAAATTGATGTGCTGGACATCACTGATGACTGCAATAACTGCAATGTTAGACTGCAGAGACAGTATCCAAGCAGAATTAAAGCTTGTGTTTTTTACAGGGACAGTGGTATCATAAATTGTCTTTTATGTTTTAAGTATAATCTGCTAGTGTGATTTCTGCATCTGTTAGTTTTACTTGCATGTTTGCTTTGGGAGGCTCTCAACTGTAATAATTTTTATTATTATTATTTACTTTGACAAATTGGATTTGCACACTCAGAAGGTAAAGTTCTTTTTAACAATAGTTCTTTCATGTATGTATAGTTACGAGTATTGCTAGACATCTAAAAATATATTAATCCCCATATTGGCATGATTATTTAAAGTAGAGAGAGGAAAGAGCTCTTAATGATAATAGAGATGAAAGCAATGCCGTTTTTAGTGAGAGACTGGATATAAAAGAGAAAGGGAAGGGTTAGAGTTAACACTGATATGTGAGAAAGACTGAAAGGGAAACACAGATATTCTTATGGGGAGACTGAGATATGGTCCAGAAATCTGAGAGAAGTAATTTGAGAGAGGGGGCAAAGGGGGAAGAGTTCAATGACCACATACAGCTGATTATAAATATAGCAAATAGATAAAGAGTTTGCTGAAACTCAGTTGAAAGGTCAATGTCTGTCAGGAATGGATACAGTACTCTAACCCAGGAAAAATATCTGAATCTACAAGATGTTATTTTCATGACAATGTTTTGATGAGAAGAAAAGGAAATAAATGGTAATATACAATTTTCAGAGATTTCCATAGTGGTTTGCCACAAGTAGAAATGCTTATACAAAAGAGCAAAGAATTGTCTTTTAAGAAATTTTTATTTTTCTGGAATGCACTAAGTTTTGTATATTCTCAAGTTGAAGTAAGGTCCCCTGATTCACAGCTTCAGACTACAGATAAAATTTTTATAATGATTAATTACTGAAATTTTAGAAACAGTGCTATTGTAAAATTGGTGATCTCTTAATGCTTGCTACTGTTCACATTCCATTACAACATTTGGACATGAAAATATAGATAAGTCCAGATACATCATTATATAAAAATGTTTTGATCTGTCCAGAGCTTTTAAGAACTCAGGGGTAATCTGGAGTTTTAAACCTGCATTAAACTGGCCTAATTTCATTAGTCCTTCATATTTTTATTACATAAAAAAAAAAAAAATACCTGGTCCATTTGATCCTAGTATTTCATCACTCAATCAGAAGGTTGTCCTGTGTTATTTCCCAGATGTTTTATCTGAAATGGAAAAGGAAAAGAGAAAGAGAACAAAAGGAAGATATTAAATAAATTATCGACTCTTATTTTCATTTTTTCAATAAAGTAAAAATCCTATATTAAAAATTATTACTATGTCATATTGAGTAAATTACAAAAGTTTGAAAATTCTGAGTTGATCACCTTTAAACTTTTCTACATGAGGGCAACCTTTTGTACCTCCAAATAATACAAAATTAAATAACATTTAATAAAATAAATAATCTTTAAAGAATATACTCTTAAATTAAATATAAATTAAATAATATTTAAAAGAATACAGTCTCTTCATCAGGCTAATCTGTTGCTGATCTTACTGGCAGCATAAATTATTCCTTTCCTAGCTTTGGGCAGAGATGTGATAGCTCGATATGCTTCCAGAAAATCCGAGAGAGATATGTTAAAATTCAAGGGCATCTGGAGTTGTCACTGAGATCTGAAGACTGAAAATGAGAATACTGAAAGCAATCCTAACACTAAGCCTTTCAAGATGATATGGTACATATGCAAGGTTTCATGCTGGTCTTTCAAACAGAACTAAGAGAACTGATTTACTATCAACTTGTTCAACACAAATTAAACAAACGTCAACGGACTAACACCACTCATACTGTAAATAGCATGTTCTGTTAATACAGGTAGAGAGGAGTTGCTCTGCATAATTTCTGGTCTCCATATAGTACAATATTGAAAGAGTACAGAAACTGTCATAAATTCCTGATGAAATGCAAGCGTAATTCTGTTTACTATTGAATGTGATTTACTGCAGTTACACACACACTCTCTCTCTCCCCCCACCTGTATTTTCTGTAGAAGGCACACGGGATTTAGACAAATACCAACGTAGGAATTTTATTCAGAGTTAGTGCAGAATAACTTGTATATAGAATTATCAACTATGGCTTTTGATCTTCTTTTAAGATGTATAATTCCTTTTAAAATATATTTTAAGAATACTAAATTAAGATTTGAAATGAAGATAAAAATTGCTAGGAGATTGTAATCAAATAACACTTCAAAACTGAAAGTGGTGTAAATCTATAAACTACTTTATATAATAGATGCAAGGAGGACTTCCTATGCAGATTATGCCACCACTCTGTATTTTTCCACAGTTAAACACTAGCTTAAATATAGATGATTTTGTGACAGTACTGAGATAAACAGAATTGCATTTTATCACATAGAATATGAAATCTGTAGCCTACACTAATGATAATGATGGTATTTATTGTGTTCTTGTGTATAATGCAGTTTTAAAATCCCAGTATTTTCATGTAATTGGAGAGCCCGATTACCAGAAAATGCTATCAACTGTTTGCATATATTATTCTACTCATCTGCACACATTTGAGAACAGATGACCAGTCACTTTTCTCAAGCATAAACCCAATTTGTGGTAACTTCTAGAAGTCAGATGTTTGCTTTCTTTAAATCTGAGTTTTACTTAGTGATTTACATACTTTATTTCCAAAGGTCTCAATATTTGCAAAGTTAAGAAACTGAAAAACAATGCATTCAAGAAAGTAATTCTTACTGAATGCTGATGTTTGTAATAAAGTTGGAGCTTCCTGTTCAGTGCTCTCATTTTCAAGGTCCCTGCCTTCCCTTCCCTACCCTGATGGGTTTTAACATTTTGGAGTGTAGCATGCTCAGCAGAAATCCAAATATCTGCTTAACCAGAATGATTTTATTAGCTCTATTTTAATGAATTCCTTTCAAATAGTTTAGACATGAAAAGTAAGCATTGCTCAGTTTTGTTTTGTTTTGTTTTTATTTTCACAGTATTGTAAAATGCACTTTTTATAATCTATGTAGAATTACTTTTTGGAATGCAGTTTTGCTCTCTTTTCACTTGCGCCCTCCTCCTTTCAACCACAAGTACATATTTTATCTGTTAGCTACTGGTTTACTTAATCTCTATTCATGATTTCAGATTTGGTTTGTTCTTTCCCCACTGCCTCTCTTCTATATTGGGCTTGGACAGAAATTAAAAAGCTTGTTTTGGGAGCTTCACCTACAGTTTGTTTTCTCAAGTCTTCATTAAAGTTTGCTCTTTAACTGATTTGTTAAGGTATTTTCTGCTTCCTTCAAGCAGCTGACATATAGAAGTGGATGTCTGGATCTTTAGTAACACTGAATTAAGTTTTGACCATTAACCTCTTGCTATCAGATTGACATTGCCAGTTTAGACCCTGATGATTTGAATGACCACTAATCCAAACGATGGGAATTTGTGCTGTTATACTAGCTAAAGTTGTATATCAGTGTTAAATTGTCATCCAGAGTTCTACCTTCATTTGATTGCTGAGGCAATGTAGTAATAAAGACATTCCTCAGTATTTGTATGACTAACCTTCATCTTCTTATCCTATTTGGATAATAAATAGCTGGTCTGTTAGGAGGAACACTGAGGACACTAGACATACAGTGGAAAGTTTGGACTTCCAAACTGCCTTTCATCCTGCCTTCTTGTTAGACTGTCTCAACCCACGATGGGGACTGAATAATTAAAAGTAGTTTTCACTCAGTTTTAGGAACTCTGATATCTAAATATGCAAGAAGCTAGAAAAGCAACCCCACTCCCACCGCTGCCCAGGAAATAATCTGAAATTTCAGTATTTCATTAATAACTCCTTTAAGAACAGCTCCTTAGAACCACCACTGATATCTAAAATTATTTTTACGGATCTGCACACTCCTGTCACAAAAATCTTGTTCTGTAGCTTTGCTTCTTCTACTTCTGCATGTAATAAAGTTTCCATAATTTAACAACTTCCTTCCAACTTCTGAAATAATTTATTTTTGAATTGATTGTTCTATGCACATTGCTCTTCCCATGCAAGTTAAAAATCTTACCTCTTTTTAGAGTTGTAGATGTTTGATTTCATATTATCTTTAATAAAGAGAAGCCCTGACAATTTTTTCTGTCAATCCATACCAGAATGGTAGAAGTCCTTTCATATCCCCATTAGAATATAAATTGTATTTTTTTCCTTCAAAGTATTTTTGCACACACGTACATTGTTGATCAAGATATCAGATTGACCTTATGAAAGAGTAAAGTGCACCAAAGCATTCTGAATTATTTAGTTGTAAATTTTACAATATAGCCTGTAATACCAAATAAAAAGCATAGTTAGCATTTCACTTTCATACTAATAACCTTCAGTAGACATTACTTTATATTACTCTATAGGAATGCTAACAAGAAATAAAATAGAAGGTGAATATATTGGAATGTGAATAGTTGCTGCTGTCCTTTAAACATAGTCCTTATTCTTGGGTAATGTACAGAATCTCTAATGTTTTCTTTAGTTATTAATTGTATTTGCTTTGCTAGTTTCATCCTAGAGACAGAAATATGACCGGGTCATGAAACATTAAATACAGCTCTTTCAAATGACATATACAACAGGTGTGAGAAAATGGCTGTAGTCTTCCTCTCATAAATGTGCTTTTTCTTAATTGCCTTTCCCATGTTTTTGAACCCTGATAATAAAGCTGTAGTTCCTTTTTGAGGCAGATGATTAACCATTCTCACCATCATATAATACAATTTCCATTTTATTTTAAACATACTTTGCATGATATAAAAATATTGATCACAGTGAGCTTTAACAATTGTTACTGCTATAAACAGAAATGCTGCACAATGGTTTTAGTGGAAATAAATTATATAGTCATTATCTCTTTTTAAAAAAAAAAAAATCACAAGAAGGAAAACCTAGGCTGTTTGGTCATTGGTGGAAAATAAGTCCTTATTGAGTTCTTTACAAAACATGAACCCCAGTTATTTTCTACGTTTGCTTTCCACATCTTGAGAAAAGCACAATGAGTCTGTCTCTGAAAGCCCCACAGGGTCTCTGGTGAACATTTAATTCCAAAATATTAGCAAAGTTTCTGTTGCTCTTTTGTTCTAATGGAAAAAATGTACACCAAAATAGCAAGTAGTGCTCTCTTCACTAATTCATAAGTGGTCTTTTCCAATATGTGGGTACACAGCGGCACACTTCTTCACTAAAATAAAATCCAGCATCACAGCGTTTCGTTCGGACTGTACAGGGCGGTCTGTAACAACTAAAGAAATGAAAAAAAGTGGGCATTAATATAACATGATCATAGATAATAACCTGGAGTAGAAAACTGTGCATTTAGGTTGCCATTTCTTGATGGGATATTTAATTTCTACAATTACATATCCTTTAGCTTCTGTTTATGATGTTGTAACTACTTTTAATTGGACTATTCTTCATGAAAGACAATGAAAAAACAATGAATGATGTTGAAGAGAAATGATTCTATTGCAACAGATATGTACATTTTTAACGTATTGCCTGGTGTAGTCACATTCTAATCTTGAGTAGTATTTTTTTAGATTTAATTTTGAAAATACAGTGATATTTTTCTATACTCAAATTGGCTTATTATGACAACCTGCTGTATGCTGTCAGTTTGAGGTGGCAATCCAGAACCAGGAGATAATAAAATCTAGCATCTTCTTATCCAGGACTGTTTCTCACCTTATTCACTAATGCAGTAAGCCTGAGAGAGATTTGTATACGTATGTTACATTGTGACTCTGATCTTGAAATTGAGAGCGTCTTTTCAAGTTGCAAACTCCTATAGCCACTCTCTGAGGCCAGTGGGAATACATCTATACTTCATACCACATCCATGTGCATTCTGAAGTAAGATTAGAGCCTGCATGTTTATGAAGCTGCAGAATTTTTCTTCACAGATTCCTTGACTGAAAAATAGAACTTATACAAAGATAGTATCTGTGGTTGTCCCTGAACTCTTCCTTTTCCTATTTTATTTTTCTATTAAAACAAGAGCTTGACCTAAAATAACCTTACAATAACAATGCTAAATACTTTCTGGTGTATAATGGGAGACAAAGTACAAGTCTGGGGTTTTTTTCAGATGCTGGCAATGAGTCAAAAGACAAAAGTATATGTTTTGAATTTCAACACAGTTATACTTAAAACTTGTACTTAAATAATGTGTGCCTGTTTGTGAAACACTGATATTATGATCTATTACTATAATTCATACTTACTTCAGTTCAAAGACACTACAGTATGCTATATTAAGGTACTGCCACTATCCCCTTCCCTAGGATAATTCTTGTTTCAGGCTTGTGGCTACTCTTATTATTGTTGCAGGTAAGTTAATATGTTGTGTGCTTGTTTTGGATACCAAATTTCTACTTTGAAATAATTTGTTTATGGTATGAGGTCTGGATTACAGTTACATTAATTCACGCCAGCTAGTTCAACCAATGAACCTGGTTATGATGAAAACAATAAGGAATGAGGAAGACTGAAAACATGACATTTAGTAACCAGTCACATCTTGTTCAGTGTTTTCAATGTCATTAATCATAGATTAGTTCACCAGTGTGGTCTCTCTAATTAAGGGAGTAGCATTATTTTGTGCCACTTAATATAGATATTTGAGATCAGTGTTAACAGCTCATGGGAATCTCTCAAAGCCCAATAAGGTCTGGAAACAGTGGTAAAAGGCAACAAAAGCGTTTGCCAAAGGCTCTAATACTCTGAGCAAATGGGCAACCAGCAGTAGGTCTCTTCTGTGAAAAAGGTACTCCATAGAGATGCAACGGATGAAACACTGAACTGACTTGCCTTTTGGCCTGTCTCTGCCATGAAAGTTAGACTATTTCATGTACTGAATGACCGCAAAACGAAATAAGCTTAAAAAAAAAAAAAAAAAAGCCAAACTCTTCCACCCACCTATGACATGTTGTACAAAATGAAAAGCAGTCACGTAGTTATTAAATATGAGTTCGCTTTGTTTAGGATTCATGCTTCCTAATGAACTGTGAACTTCAACTTAACTTATAGTTGAGAATGCTATAAAGCATCTCTCCCATGTGAATTTGTGTCTAGCAGCAGTCAAGGTCAGGTTACTGCAGTCTTATCCCTATTTGGGACATTTCAACAGAGCAACAAAGTCCCTCTTCTCTTCTAAAATGCTTTGCAGCTGAGGTGTCTAGTTATCTGGCCCTGACAAAACTGACCAAAATAAATTTTTGAGGTGATAGCACAGGGTGAATAGCAGCAGAGTCATTGTAACTACAGAAATGTGATTTCCTTAGGAAACTTTGTTGAACAATAGACCAGGTCTTTCAAACGATTTGGGCCGAATGTTGTTTACTGAGTGCTTTCATGTGACAGATGTCTGTTTTGATGAGGGCAATCTGAGCATGCCGGAGCTAAGATAGATGTTCAGTCAGTATGCATAGTGCCGGGTGAGTCAGTGGCAACTCTCTCTTTACGGTCAGTAATTGTGATTTTTTGTTACAAAATGCTCCGGTTTGTAATTTTGGGCAGTCTAAGAACTCCACAGATGAAACTGAAGTAGAAATGTTATTTTTAGCAGTGGTAACAGCACAATCACCTTAAAAGCCAGTATGCTTTATGGTGTGTTTTTTTTTTTTTTTTTTTTCAAATTTTTTCCATTTCTTTTTCTTCCTATCCTGTGCTTTGTAAATGACATTGTATTCCTTTCCTCTGAAGCAGGGTATGATGTTAGAAGCCAAGGCTTTTTAGGTACAGTGCATAAAAATGTTGGTGCTTCAGAACCAGAACCTACAAGGACTACCTCCTCACGGGGAGCTCTCTAGCACATGGCCACAGGATCCTGCTCATGTCTAGGTCTCAGGCATCTTTCACAAAGTTACAGAGTGGTACCTCCATTTTACATGGTCTCATAACAGCAAGGGATCTTTCTTTCAAAGACAAACGGGATGTTGCAGGGTTTTTACTCCTTTTATCTAAAGCTTGTGGGAGACAGAGACAAAATGTGAGAAACCTATGCTAAGTCCTTTCTTGAGGAGGACGAGAGACTGCATCCTCTATTTTTACTGACAGTGCTAACATCTACGGGTTTGTAGAGCTATAGAGTAAGACCGTATACAAATCTTTCTTTCTCCACACAAAGACAAACTGCTTATAAAAGATAAACAGCTGAAAGCATCCTGTATCACTCTGTCCTTGGAAGTAAGAAAGTGATTCAAACCCTACTGTATTCAACCACAACACCACAGAAGGAAGCTGGGCCCAATTCACTCCTTCAAATACTAAATCTTTAAATCAACAGAGGTGACATCAGATACTTAGGGCATTTTTTTAATGCCTTACTTTTCCAGTTGTGAATGTTCCTTTAAAATACACAGGGTTTCTATGTGTAGCACTGCTGGAAGTGCACACTAGGATAGTGCTAAGGCTTTGTAACATGCTAAAGCTCATGTAATCAGGTTGGTTTCTTTTCCTCTGCAACATAAAATTTAAATAAAAATGGAATGACAGAGAAGAAATTATTTCTTATGTTTCTAACAACTTTTCTGTTTCACTCAAAAGGCTAAACATAGGAAAACAGGTAATGCCAGTTATTATTAATCTTTTCCCCTATTTTAGAGACTTCACCACAGGTGTCATTCCTAATATTAGACATTTTTTCTTTATTCAGGACAAACTAATGTGTGTATATATATCTGGCAATATATTTACACCAACTAATTACATGTTATATTAAAAAAATACATAAGTTTTACTTTTGATAAGCAACAAATTGCCACAGACGTTTCCATTTCCAGTGCCAGAACATTTCTCAAATTGTTATTTGCCATTGATATAATAGAAATCTTTCCTATATATTAATAAATAAGTGATCTTTCTGCTCCGGATGGTGGTGTTTTTTTTTAACTAATTAACTTTACAGGAAAACTTTCTTCACAAAATATAGAAAGCAGAAATAATATTGTTTGCTTCTCAGAACCTAAAGTCATTCACATTTTTATATATAGACTGCTACCACTATGGGTGTAGCAGTTGTGGAAGGAAAAGCTCCTGTGATATATAAAGAAATTGTAGTTTTCTTTCTGACCAAATCCCATTTAAAATGATGAATGTAGGCGGTATGTTTTATACTTATATATATGTCTACTTTCCACAGAAATCACTCAGAGCTATAAGGCTTTTTATGCACTTATAAACATTCAATATCAATTGAGTAAAATTAAGGATATGCAAAAATTTAGGAAGTGAAAACGAATGATGGTATGTCTATAACTCCTGAAATCTAATTAGGAATATTTGAGTTATTTGAATTGCAATATTCAGTTCTTGGGAAAAATAAGAGTGGGATTTTAAGTAGCATAAAAAACCAGGGAGCTTGAACTTACAGTTCTTTTTCATCAAAAGAAAAAAAAATCACATGAAGTAGTAGTAAGAGTACAAAACCCAAATATGCTTTATAATACTTATTCTGCCTAGTAGGTTCCTTGTAGAGATGATAAAAGTCATAGAAGAGAAAACTGAATTGAAGAGAGGCTTACTGAGAGATTCTACTAGACAGCCTAACTTTATACCTTAAACACAAAAGGGCTAAAGGCTGAGTTTTTACCTGCATGTCTGGTGATGGAACCTTTTTCCTTTTAGGAAGCATTTATTGGGAGATTCTGTACATTCACAGATGCATTTTGCAGGATTTAGTGGCTGATGTTTAGGACAGGTCTTTTTACATACACACTGGCACTTATCTTCATCAAACTCTTTGTTGGGCCCGCAGGAGGTGGGGAGAAGTTTGTTTTTGCACATGCACTGACATGATGATCTGTCTAATTCTTTGTGAGGTCCACAGCTTGAGGGCCGCATGCCTCCTTTGCAGACACATTGACAGGTTTCTTCATCTAGCTCTTTGTTTGGTCCACAAATATGGAATCCTTCAGATGTGTCTAGAAATACAGCAGAGAAGTTGCACAATTATTAGAATTTTATGTCTACCCATTCACCAATTTTTAAATGAATAAATGATAGCAAATTCACACCTTTTAAAGTGTTTTAAGAATAAGTATATGTCAAAAGACCAGAAACAGTATTGATAAAGATCCAACAATTTACTTTTCATGTTTTTAATTTCTTCTTTAGGTAAATCAAAACATGAAGCTACATTTAATCCTTTAAGCAAAACTGCTTACCAGAATCTTCAAGGTGAGAAGAGAAACCAAAATCATGCTGTGCCAAACATCTGCAAATTTGATTATTCCAAATATGATTTTTAGGGCAGGTCTTGTTTGCCACATGACACCTGTGGAATGAAATATACTGTTGATTTGCTACCATAAGAACTCAAGGGAAAAAAAAAAATTGAATGTAGGTGCTGACTGCTTTTGTTTCCCTTCATTACAAAAATCTTTTCAAGAGCCTCAGTTCATTCATACTATTATTTTTTAACTCCTATTAAGTCTGTTACTAATTAGGGTTCTCCCCACTACAGGAGTCCTCAACCATTTGTTGAAGATACCTTCTCACATTTCAAGTTTTAGCTCTAACTTTTAGAAGCTGATATCTGTACTTTCCTAATGTAGTTTATAAACAGATCTAACCCTTGAATATAAGTGTCATATAGGAAATAGACCAGTATAAAAAATACTTTCATGCCAAATACTGAATAGGTGGTAACAGGCATAATTTTATATGTTGTTTTTTGAAGTACAAAAATATTTTCACACATATAGATGTCAAAAGCCAGATGATAATAGTTTCCAAACGAATGCTGTAGATAAATCTCTGATTTCTAAAATAAAATCAGCTTATCACATTCCTTTCCCCTTTATGTGAGCTATGTGCCATTAACTGACTGTTTCTCAACAGCCACTCAAATCCTGGACAGCTTTCTTGATCTACAGATTTGGACTTCAGCAGTGATGCCTCTTCACTTGAGAAATGAAAGACAATAAACAATTTCACAGTTAATTGCTCCTTACCTGCTAGAGTGTTGCTGCCAAAGCAATGGCACCAAAGAAATCAAAAAATCCTAACAGCAGCTGGTGCCTTTTTAAAGAATGACCAAGTTTAGCTAGTAGGTGTACCACAGATAGAGTATTTATGTGTATTATCTCAGCCTCCATGCTTGTAATTTATCACCACAGGTGACATAACTTTAAACAAGTCAGGCATAACGTCATCCATCCAGCCTGTGTAATTTTTTCATTGTTTCTGTAGTATTTCTGAAATCCTAATCCGTTAAGGCAGAACATACATTAGAAATTTCAAGCACTTTTCATTCCCCTGAGCACCATTACTCATGCATTCAAAAATGCAGGTGCTGGGACATTCTTCCCTGATCATCATTCATGTATACCACTCCCCTTCACCACATTAAACGACTCTCTGCTTGTAAAGACTGCTGTAGTTTAACATCACCCTGCATTGCCTCATGTTTTATCAAGTTGGTGTTCCCTGATTTCATGCTGCTAATGATCTCACTTTTGCTCCCTCACTTGGCATGTATGTCCTTTCGCCTGCCTCCTGATTCTCCTTGAGAAATAGTACGGAAAATTTACAGACATATTATTGTATTATTGTATCCATTTTTTTTTTTTAAAAAAAAAAGAACAACTCACACCTGGAGCAGCCTGGCTCTAGTCAGGAGTGTTTAAAACTAACTACAGAAGGAAGCCAGGGTGACAGTATGAAGAGGAAACCAAGCACCCATGAACCCATGAGAAAACAATGTTGATACAAAACCCAAGTCACCAGAACTTTAAGAGAATGATATGTTTTTCAGCATCAGGGTTGGAGACACACAGCAAAGGAACTGGAACCACTTTTTTACAATTTCTACTCTCATTGGTAGTACAGAAAATTACTGGGGGATATGGCTGGAATTTTAAAATGACTTACTGTAATATTTTATGAAAGTTCAGGAAGGCTGGAAAAGTATCTGCTACTTTATAAAAGGAAAAAAAGTGGGGGAACAGGCAAAGACCTAGACCTTAATTCTCAGGATAAAGTTCTGCAGAAAATCTATTTTATATAAAAAAAAGATCAACTATTTGTATTCTATTCTATCTTAAATGCCATTTATCTCTTCTAACGTGTGCCTTTGAATCATGGCATAGTTCAGGCTTAAATTCTTATTAGATCTCAACTGTTACTACCCTAAAACTAGAGATTACACTCTTTGGCTTTTCTGTTCAGTAATACATAAGAAAGTCATTACTATATTTCTGTTAAAATGAGCATGTACACATACATGCACACATGCAGATCTGCCACTGTGAAAAGAAAGTACATTTCCAAGTTTTGGCTTTAACAATAGTTTCACTAGCATTTAAACCTATAAATAAAAATGTTACGGAAAAATAAGAAGTTGAAAACTTTAGTACAAATGAAAAGACCCATGTGGGATTCTGAAAAGCATCCGGGTACTTATCAGGAACATGTAAATATCTTTAATTTCCCTTCTAGAATCTAGAAGCACTCAGTTTGTTTTTTTTGTTTGTTTTTCTATTTTACTGTAAAAAGCCATAAGTTTTAAACTAAGACAGTACTTAACATTAGAGGAGACCTGTATATATTCTGATCTACTACTACTCTGTCTTACCTTTGCTGAAGCATGATTCCTTACTCACAGGACAGCCAGCTACCTGCGAGTGCTGGTCAAAGTCTTGGATCTGTACACATACTTCCCTCTAACTACAGGTAGCTGTTTCCTGGCTAGAATAAACTCTTGCACTGGTAATTACAACTGCTCTTAATCTGGAAGCACTCAGAAGCTGCCAACAGTCAGCATAATTTTACTTTATTATTGACTCTTGGGTTGATTTTTTATAATCTGATAATTATGCAATTAATTAAACTACTGATAGATTTATTTCCTAATATTCTTCTAATCCACTGTTTATGATCCATGTGTCTTGATGAATAAATTCATTAATTTTAATTCAAATAGAATGTAATCCATGTTTAGCTGGAACATGTCAGAAAACGTGCAGAATTTCACTGAACGAAAACACAGACAAAACAACCTGGGAATTTTGCACTATTCACTCGTCTTATTAAAAATGTCTATAATTAATTCCACTTCAGCTTCTTGTCATTGGTTCTTCCATAAAGCAACTGTTAGTCTATTATGTATTTTTGGCCTCCTAACTATTTATACATCATGAAATCAACACTCAGTGTTCTAAAATGAAGGAAAGGAGTTCTTCAAGTGTTTCAATAACACTTATTTCGGTGTCAGATTTCTTCTATGACTTTTTAAATCCAAAATCACCAAATAAATCAATACGTTAATTCTGTGGACTGTTACCAAACCCTTTATTTTCCCTTCCCATTCTGTTTTATTTTCACCTCTGGCCAATGAAGATGTACAAAAAGATTTGTAGTTAAAGATTCCCTAAAAATTTGCCTCGTTTAAACAGTGTTTTAAATAGGAAAATACAGTTTGAGAGAGAAATGTTACCTACTCCTTATTTGCAAAAGCATTTTTAGCTTTTCCTGATTACATTTTTTTTAAAGAAGTTGACTTTATTGATGTTTCCTTTAAGACACAATTGTCTTGTAGCTCTTTCCATGAAACAAACCCCAATAAAATTATCCACGGAGTTAAATGGTAATGTTACTTTAGTAACATTATCCTCTTGTAAAACAATATTAGCTACTTTGCAACATGCATTCTGCTACTACTAATGCGTAATTCACCTAAATTCATCTATCTTAACTGTGATACCTTCAAGCAATATTTTAAATCTAATTATATAGGGTTGCTCATAATGTGAAAAGAAAGACAAGACTCATACTTACTGAGTTTGTGTTGCTGGCAAGGAACGTCTTATGATAGAATGAACTTGTCTGTAAACATCCAACTTCGACATGCATCGGCAGGACGTGTGATTGGCAAAACTGACGGTTACGGGTTTGGGGCCGTGAGAAAGAGGCACTGTGATCTCAAACAACTATCAAAGGGAAAGTAAAGCAAAGAGCCTTCTTTATGTATCAGTAACTGTACCAATAAAAATAATATAAGAACATATTAAAAAAGCTATGAGGAATTTAAGTTTAGTTTTTTGTGCTTTATCATCATTCAGTAGCATAGTCAATTATACCATTAAATAATCATTATGTGCAAAATGAATACAATAGCTATGGTGTGACAACATTTTTAATGTTAAACTGTGTTACATGCCTCTTTGTTTACTGTAACATTTAATCTAGAGTTAACAGAGGAAAATGTACAAGGAACTCATTTTTCTAGAGGAAATTACTTCAAATCGGCAGCCTTTTAAAACAATCTAAAATGTAACATTTGGAAAGTGTTTCAAAAAGTTGGAAAACAAGGTTAACTTAAAAAGAGGATAAGCTACAACCTAATGCATCAGTTGAACAATTACAAAAGCTTGTGTAAAACAGCAATATATTGGACTTGGATCAAAACATTTTTGGATAAACAAGTTTTAAACTGCAGCATATTGTATTTTTGACTTTCCAGTATTTGTATCAATGCAAATTATATGGTTACCCTAATGGAATGCATCTTGAACTCTTTTTTTTTTTTTTTTTTTTTTTCCAAGATATTACAAAATATCTACTGTTAATAAAATAACCATGTACATGAATAAATAAAATCCTAATTTTAGTGGGAAATGTAGTTCAACTGGTGGAAGAGGCTAATTTCAGCAATACCTTGTGGAAAAAATGAACATGTGATAACAGACAAACAGTGACACTCATTTCAGTATTCAATTCAGGACATCTACTTTATCAAGTTAAGAAGGTTTCACTACAAGACTCAAATCCCCTTAGTCTCCTGAAAAGTTAGTTAGGACAAATACTTCAGGTCAAAGACTTAAAAACTATTTTTCGTAGTATTTTGAATAGGATAATAGTGCACTGCTGCCTTGTAGATGTTTAGTCACTTCCCTAAATATATTTAGGAATATTTCTGCATTTTCTGGGGATTTTATTACCTTTAAAAACATGGTCATTGGTTATTATTCCAGTTTCAGTTGATGACACTGCATAACAACACTTTCATTTTTAGCTGAGATCTATTCACAATGTTTTTTTATAATCAATAACTTTATAGTATGGCATATAGGCAGCATGCAAATATAATCAAAATACTGGTAATTTTAAATGATTCAAAATACAAAGTACATCTATAGGATGTGCTCAAAACAGTACTTTGCACTGAAGCACACAAGTGAGCCTGTGTATTAAGCATGCAGGTGCAGCAGTGTGGGATGTATTCACCAAGTACCCACAAGGTAAAACAGCACTTGTACAGCCAACAATAAAGTTCATACTATTGATATACCTAAACTATGCAATTTAAACATAAATTGTATAAAACATCATCAACTCTGATAGATACTATCTATTTTACAAAACAAACTTCGACATCATTTAGTGACCGGATCTTTAAAAAAGTTTAACATTAGGAGTGTCATCATACAAGAACTGAAATGGCAATAGTATTATATTTGTATTTTATTCTGTTACAGAATATTATAGTGCTATTATTTCTGCTGCAAAAAGTACCACATCCTTATATTAGTTTTAAATGCATTTCTTTTTTCCACAATAGACTCTAAAAATGTAAATGGGTACATATTTACCTCTGTAGAAGGAAAACCAAACCAGAAAATAGTTTCCTGCATCTTTCAAATACTAATGAAAAAACCTCTCCATCTAGGGAGTTACCATGAAAAGAGTTGCATTTGTTAGAGAGACTTCTAGCCAAAGCATATTAACACTTGGATTCTTGCTCCGGCTGAAAAAATAGTAATACTTCTTAAATTTTTAGTCTTGAAGCATTAGTAAGATAGGGACATAAGTCCATGTCTAGTTTAAAGTTTGGTACCAATTAAATTAATGCCTAATTATCACCAGACATGCCTCCAGGATTTTCAGTAAGTTCAACACAGACTTCTGGAAAGAAACTTTCTAATCAACTTTTTATTATACTTATAATCCCTTTTGGCTTCCAAACCAATATTGGCTCCTTTACCCTTACCTATTGTAAAAGTTCCTTTAAATTAATCACAAAAGGCGTTCTTACCTAGATGTCTCATCCAAAAGGAGCAATAATCATAACACAGAGCTATCATTTTCACACTAATATATTACATGAAAATAGCTTTATGTACTTTTTGTTTTAAAGATATCCACCTATTTGAAGGCCATCATAGGTTTTGCTATAATGCACAAACTAACTAGGAAATCGGAGAGGAGGAAGGTGGTGTTGTAGATATACAGAAAAGACCATGTTTATGAAAAATAGCTTTAATTTCTGCATACAGTATGAATTTGAGGAAGTACCTGCTATGTTCTTTGTGTATCTGTTTTTTAAATACCGATCTTCAATCAGATGACAAAACTCACCTACATATGCAAGACTTGCATCTTCCTTTGAACAAGTTGTGCTTTCAGAAGGACAGCACAATTGCTAACACTCTGAAAATCTGGATGGCTAAGAATCCACAGACACAAAAGCCTTTACTGTGTTAAATATCTCATTAGAAAACTGATTCTTAAAAGACATATATGAATTGAGGGGCAGAACAAAGAGTATGGACTTAATTACAGTACTACACATGTAAAGACAGTCTTGTTTTCTCTGCTCTCCTACGACAGTATGAACTTGCTTTTCCAAAGCTGAAGTAAAAACCCACCCCAGGGAGAACTGATAAAACTTAGAAACTGAAGATCAACACAATTCTTTGCACGGATCAAACTGCAGCTGACTAGAAAAGAGGGTATGTTCTGTTCTTCCTCTGTTCTTGGAGTAGATTGGTTTGCCATGCATAGCAGACTCCAGACCGCTAGAGACGGCAGTGTAGGACTCCTGTTACAATTCCAAACCACCTAAAAGAGGTCCCTGTCAGCCCAACTGTCCTCCTCTTCCCCTTTATGAGTGCATTGAGAGAAAATTCACTATAACACCTGAGACACACCAATTGCGAGCAGAAATGATGGTGAACATGAATTATCTTAATCTACATTTATCCTTCCACTTAAATTGTGAAAAGTATCAGTTTAGAGATGAATCTTGCTAACAACTATTCCCACCAACACTTCAGTGGTTCAATGCAAAAAACGTCTAGTTAAAGATTATAAAGGTATACTAGCGTCTTTGATGTCATTGAGTTACCTTCAGTTTGTTCAACTAAATTGTCTCAGTAGCGATGTACTTTATATCACTCAATTGTAGCTACTATTTATCCATTAAGTCAAAAAACCACTAAGCCAACTATTTATGTTAGAGATTATATTCAGTATTACATTTCTAGCCTTCACTTTTGGAAAGTGCTTAAGATGATCCATGAACTAGCATTTTGAAAAAAGAATATAAATCATAATTTCATTAATGGAAACTACAGAAGTGAAATACTGGGGTTGGAATTATTGATCTGTTCTTTCTACACTTTGGTCTGCACATGCTATTAGGACACTATATTCTGATGCATATGGAAAAATAAGATATTTATTCTCTTCTGATAGTGAAAATATATCAAGAAGAGATTTCACAAGAAATAAATTCTTGAAAAGTAGTCTGTTACATTAAAGGTATTTAATACTCAGAATAATTCAGTTTAAATAATCTCTAGCATTTTAAAATAAGATCCATTCTAAAGAAAATCTATACTCCATTCTCAGCTGTGATAGCAGCATCTCTGAATCCAATGAAACTATTTACATGTAACTGAATCAACTCTCAACGTACTTATTATCTTAATAAATAATTTCAAATTAGGTAAATTCTGACCTTGTGTAATGCTTTCTGGTTTTGCTAACATCCTAATTTACTTCTTGTTCATCTTCCTCATCCAATAAAAGAGCAAGCTCAACATCTGTTGTCATACAGGGCATGTTTGCCAACATGTAACAGCCAAATGTCAATATCTAGAAAGGATATTTCTATGGGAAATGCACCATAACATCTGTGTACGAACCTGGTTCTTGACTCCCTTTTTTTTTTCTGGCAACACTGCTGGTTGTGAGTACTATCGCTGGTATCCACGTAACCCAAGTGGGTGCCTCTTCTTAGACATCAGATGGCTTATATTTCTGTCTGATCCCTCATTCAGTAAAGGTCTGGTTTTACTGTATTCTTTGAGGCCCACACCTTCTCTTCCTTCCCAACTTCAAATCATAGTAAAAATAGGGACTAATTCACACTAGAGGCAATAGGGAAAAGATATTTCCTTCAGGTCTGTTCTTCAGAGACCAATGCCTAAAGACAGACATTCAGGACTAAAGACTGCAAAAGCATGAGCTTCAGTCTGCAGAAGAACACAAGATCTGACAGTATTAGGGATTATGGCAGTTTGTTCAAAGTGGAGAGCTTTTATTGCTCACTGTTTTCAGAAAAAATGTCAGTAATTACAGTACAATAAATAGCAAATTAAAGTACATTAAATGAGTATTGCTAGAGTTAAAGGCCAATACTCAGAAGTTAAAAGAAAAAAAATAGATTCAACTTGCCTGTGCTGTCCTGTACATTTGTGCTACCAACACTGGCATTGTCAGGAAACAAGTGGAAAGCAACCACCGAAGCAGCATGTGATAGCGTAACTAAAGAGTATTAACAAAACAAAAAAAAAACAAACAAACCAACAATCCCCCACAAAATAACAGAGTTCTGTCCTAACCTCTTCTGCAGAAGCTCATAGTGTAAACATAAGTCAGTTATTTACTGTTAATTTCAGTGTATAACACATACTAATGGAAGCTCTACATAACTGCAGAACAGCTGAACACCATACATAGCTATTGCATTTCACAATAACACACGCCATTCAAACCGTCTGAGGCTGCTTTGACACAGAAAAGCCAGATGGCAGGTCTTCCTGTCTTTCTCACCATTTCTATTATTTCTCTTTCAAGCACTGTGTTCAGTCCTTGCCTCCTTAGGTCTTTACCCAATATGACAATTCTCTAAGCCAACCTCCCC